GTAGGGTAGGAGATGAAAGTTTGTAGATGGGTTTTGCAATTGTGTGTTGTCCAATCGGCCGTCACCTCTCATCTATTTATGAGGCAGCTGGACTTTCTGTACAAGAAAAGGACACCAAATCACGTCCAAATCTTTTCAAAATTAACCGAACTCTGATTTAGGTAAGTCTGGGACATTAGTTCGGTTTTTGACTCTAACAGGCCACAAACTATCTCAGATGAAGATTCGCCCAAAAGAAAATTTAATCGTTTCGACGAGACGAACAACTTTCATGTTGAACGTTTTTCGATCCGAGGCCACCATCAGGGCTGAATCGCTCGCGCAAAACAGACTATTACTCGCGCTACCCATCAGACACCGTGTCTGATGGGGCGCGCCACTTTTTTTTGAAAGGAAAACTTACTCCATTACACATACGGGCAACAAAATCGCTCGCAACCGCTTCAGTTACAAAGTTTGGTCATCTGACAACCACATACATATATCTGGCTCAACCAAACTCGCGCCAAATGACGCTAGCTTATGGGCAGCTACATTACAGGACCTGGGACACCAATTGATAAAAGCAGACTGAAAATAGTACAAGAGTTAAACTTTGCTTCTCGAAACAGGGCACCAAAAACTGAATTATTGTAGGCGTCTCCATCAATAGCTTATTTCAGCACCAATGCATCCGTTTCGAAAATTACATTCCTGCATCCCAACTCACTTGCTCTCTCTACGACATATAACGGGGCAATTGTTTCTGCTTGAATTGCCTCAGAGAGTCTTGACAATCTCCCTGCCCCTGCTGCTTCTAGTCCTCCTTCAGAGTTTCTGATGACGAAACCCCATCCTCCCTTCTTTGTGTCTTTTGTGAAGGCTCCGTCTATATTTATCTTTAGATAATTTTTCTCTGGCGGTTTCCAACAACTGTCTTTGGTCGTTGTTTTCTTAGTACATTTCTGCTTTTGCCCCGTGACAGGGCTGCACTCCGGTGGATGTAACTTTTACGTACAATCTCGGATTGAGGCAAATTTTATATCAAGATCGACCATTTTGATGAGACGAAGACAATTTTTGTAAAAAGTTTTCTCATTTGAGGCCGTCTTGGAGGCTTAATTGGCCGAATAATACTCTGGACACCAAATCTTAGTACTTTGAGCATAGTTTCGGCCCTTGAGATGAGATCGGATGGCGATGGCCCAAACTTCGAAGGTGTTCATGTAAAAATACGGAACTTTTCCACGTGGATTATTTCTTCATTTGAATTCATCTTAATTAAGTTTTTGACTTGCCAAAATCTGGTGTCAATAGGTAGATAAGTGCCTCTGGAAAATATCCCCGTGAATGTTCGTTTTGGGGGTTTACATTGGAGATGCCCTAAGAAATCCCCATTGCATAGCACGCCCTTGAGGTAAAGTTTAATTGACAACATTACATTTAACATTGTATATAGAACTAGTTTATACTGAACATTTTAACTTTTATAATTATATATTCCATTTATGTACTTTGTGACTAGTATAAGTTTTTTATATATACTTTTAAAAAATCAACCATATAATACTAATATGACTTTAAGAAATAATGAGCCCGTTATACTGTTTTAATATTAATGGTGGAAAATTCACTTGCATTAATAAATATAAAACATATATTCAAAAGTAATTGTTCCATGTCTGAGAAAACACATCTTTTTTCTTTTTACAATAATGAGTCAACAATAGTAACTCGAGCACTTAGCACTGATAGAGAGCCCTACTGCCAGTAGAGATTTATAGAATTCACTTTTATCTGTCTTAGGTGCAATAGACGATATAGTTAGCAGCGGAGTTAAATTGAACCTTCTAGAACACATAAGATATATCACCAATGGGTTTGGCCTCGAATTGCTGCATTGCTCACCTCATGAGTTTTTTCATGACCAAATATATTTTTCTTTTTTAAGAGTATGCCAAAGGCGTACCGTATTTTTATAGAAGAGAGAAATAATGTTTACAAGAGTCCGTGCAAGGCAAGAGCGCCTAAACGGGAGCTCCGACTCCAAGAAAAATACAAAACCTATTCTCTCACAAATATAGCTAGTCCCTCGACTCGTACTCCCGCCATCTTCCAAAGTTTGATCTCCTCCTGGATTTGTTGCACTAGGCTTGGGCCCGATCTAACATGATCATTCCGATTGAACACTCTTGCATTCCTTTGCTTCCACAAGTGCCACGCGGTTGCGATGACGAAGGAGTCGGACCCTCTTTTGACCTTGCCTTGGAAGGAATCTGGTGTCTTCTCCCACCACTCCATAAAAGTGTCCTCAAGATTTGGAATTTGTATGTTGACTTGTAAGAACTCGAAGCAGCCACTCCATACTTGCCACACATAAACTCACCAAGCTAGAATGTGATCAACTATGTCCACTTCTTGACAGCAGGTGTAGCATGCCGATGTTGTCTCTTGGAGTCCGTGTCTTGCTCTTCGGTCCGATGTCCAAAGCCGATACTGGGAGGCCAGCCAAGCGAAGATTTTGCACTTGAGGGGCGCCCAGCTGCTCCAGATGCAATTAGCAGTGGCAAAATGGGTCATGCCCTGGCACAACATCTTGTAAGTGGACTTTGCGGTATAGGTTGCCGCCGCATTGCAAGGCCAACTAAAAGCATCGGCCTCCGACTCATTCTTGGCTATCGTAGCCACTGCCTACTGCAGATGGATGAGCTGCAAATGCACAGTAAAGGAGAGGTCACCCGTGATGTCATGAACCCATGCGCCCTCAAGCAGCGCCTCCTGGACAGTTCTCTTGCCCTTGACGCGTTTGTCGACCATTCCGGCAATCAGGGGGGCGATATGCTTGGTCGTGAAGCCGTGTATCCATCTATCCATCCAGAACATAACCTTGCTACCCTCTCCAACTTTGATGAGCACCATGCTATCAAAAACTGCCTTTGCCTCCTTGTCCACCATGAGGTGTAACCCTTGCCAAGGGCGGGTGGGGTCTGTCCTTCTTAACTATTCCCACCGAACATGCATGGTCAGGCCTTGGATCTTCAGGTTCTTGACTCCCAGACCGCCAAAACATATAGGTCTGCAAACGGTGCGCCATGCCACCAAGCACTGCCCTCCGTTGACGGTCTCTTTCACAGCCCAGAAAAAAGTTCTCATCCATTTTTCCACCTCTTCGAACACCCATTGTGGCGCATTCATGACGAGCAGATGGTGAATAGGCCTCACCGTGATTACACTTTTAACTAGCACAAGTCTTCCCGGTCTCTGAATTAGGTCGTGCTGCCAAGCCGTAATGAAGTGCTTGACCTGATCTAGCATGAGTTGCCATTGCACTTTGGTGAGCTTGTGAATGCTTAGTTGCAGGCCTAGGTATTTGCACGGGAACTCTCCCATTTGGCAGCTGAAGAACTGTTGCACCCTCTCCACATCTCCTTTTGTTGTCCTTGGATTAAGGTCGCAGAAGTTTTGCGATAGTTCACGCGAAGACTCGAAGCATGACCGAAAGCTTGGAGCACCTCTCTTGTGCAAGAAAGATCCTGCTCTATGGGACACACAAAAAGTGCTACATCATCGGCAAATAGCGAGAGCCTTTGATTAGCCAGGACGTCGTTGAATGAGGATAGGACAACAACTATGAATGCTCTACATATCAAAGCCGAGAGGGCATCCATCGCAATGACAAAGAGCAGCGGGGAGCTGGGATCTCCCTAATGCAATCCGCGCACGTGATCAAACCTCTTCCCTTGATTTCCATGGGATAATTGACGATAACCCCCCTTGTTGGCAAATCCTTGATAATATGCCCCCGCCGCTGTCTCTGACATGTGGGGTTTAAGTGACCTGGGGGGGGGGGGTTATCATCAAATCTCCCGATTTCCATTAACAATGACTCGAGTAGACGCCGTCTGCAGTAGTATCACAACCCATCTTCTGAAGTTATTGCCGAAGCCCTTTGCTCTCAGGACTTCAAACAAGAATGGCCACGAGATGGTGTCAAGAGCGCGCAAGATGTGTAGCTTCAGGAACACACCCGGCGCCTTACGGATATGTATCTTCCTTGCCACTTGCCTAACCAAGAGGAAATTGTCGTGTAAACTTCTCCCATGTATAAAGGCTGACTGGTTCACGTTGACGAGCTCGGGCAGTCTCCTTCTCACTCTGTTGGCCATCATCTTGGAGAAGAGTTTGCCGAAGCTATGGGGTAAACTAATCGGACGGTAGTCACCGACTTCCTCCGCATCACTGCGCTTGGGGATGAGGACCATCAAGGCCCTGTTGAGCTTCGCGAATCCCCGACCGTCGCCCACATACAGCTTCAGGATGGCCGCCATAATATCACCCCTGATGATAGGCCATGCACGCTGATAGAAAGCTCCAATGAAGCCGTCCGGGCCTGGCGCCCGGTCCGGGTGCAGCTCCTTGACCACTTGACATACTTCCTCCTTGGTAAATATTTCCTCTAGCTCAAGCAGGTCGGTTGGTTGCATTCCGAGGAAGTCCAGATCTAAAGTGTATTTGCGTGCCTGAATCAGTGTCCAGTAGCCCTGAACCCTAAACCCTAAACCCAAATATATTTTTCCATGCTCCTGTATTGGAAGACCATTAGGCATTTTGGTCTCGGAACCAAGCCGACCCACGGAGATTTACAAAATCAACCATCTGATTTGGAAAATCAAACATGGATATAGAGCATTTGTTTTCATTCACGAAGAAGGGATTGAGTGCCATACACACCGGTGTGCTCGCTGACGGGTGGGCCCCACGCCGGTGCTGCCGACCGGCGAAACAAGGAGCCAAACGGACGCGGCACACGGTTTGGGAGCGTCAGCGTGCACGGCCACGACACGACCACCCGCCGTCTTCCCTTCCATTCCCCGCTACCACACACGAGCACCCGCCGGAGCCGATCGACCGAGAGCCGCCGCGCGCGCAGCTCAGCTCAGCCCCGCCGCCGCCCCGCCTCCTCCACCGCGCCGCATTCCTCTCCCGCGCGCAGGCGGCGGGAGATCCGCCTCCCTGGTCCAATGGCGCCGTCGCGGCCGCTGATGCGCGGGGCGGGCCCGCCGCGGGTCTTCGGCTCCGCGCGCGCCGGCCGGGCCTCGCCGTACGCGCTCGCGCTCGCCGCGCTGCTCCTCGCCTCCGCCTTCCTCCTCGCCCTCATCGCCTTCGGCGTCTTCTCGCTCCCCGTCTCCTCCCCCGCGCTCCCAACCACCGGCGCCGGCGCCGAGACCGAGTCCTCCGGCGACGGCGGTGGGGCCGCGGAGTCCGAGTCCTCCGCCGGCTCCTCCCGCGCCGCGCGCACCCGCGCCCGCCGCGACCTCAGGTGAGTGAGTGAGTGAGCGAGTGAGTGGCTCCGATCCAGCAGTCTCTCTCCAGATTTGCTTCGATCCGGTGTGAGCTGATCTGATCCCCTTGTTGGTCGGGTGGGTGCAGCGAGGGGCTGGGCGAGCGCGGCGCGCAGTGGACGGAGGTCGTCTCGTGGGAGCCCAGGGCGTTCGTCTACCACAACTTCCTGGTAACCACTGCCCCTGCCCACTCTGCCTCCCCTTCTGTATTCATAATCACTGCTGCCGCCATGGCTCACTCGTTCCTGCACCTGCTCCCGCATGCACGATGTCATGTGTATGTAGAGACTAGATTCTTGTGGGATCCATCCATCCCGCATCGCCTCACCTTTTTGGGTGAATTACGTATGTGCTTTTCGGTGCAATGCCTGCCGGCTTTCCGAGCTGCGCTTTCGTCTGGAAATGATGCGGCGCTGAACTCACACTTGGTGGGAATGGGGTTGACAGTGACTGAAGGAAGCATGCCGTTTGCGCTGCATTTCTGTTTCCTTTTTGTTCTTCCAGATCTTGGCTGGACCATACACTGCATGCCATTGCTTCCTGGGAAGGTTGTAGTGATTCGTTTATACTGGATTTAGTTCTGCTTTCGGTGGAGCTCTGTTTATACTGGATTGTTACCTGAATTATTATTGAAGAATGGGAGTGTAGACGGTCTGAACAAGTACTCGTCGAATCTGCAAACATGATAAAATGAAGAGGCAGAGTTTGCAGTGTTGTGGGAAGCTGGTTGTGTTAGGTACTTTACTTCATCCATGTATGGGAATTCTGTTTGCTTTTGTTCCTTGAGATCTTGGCTGAACTGCATGACAGTGCCTCCTGGAATGAAACGGTTGTGGTCACTCTTTTGTTGGCTTTAGTTTGCTTTCAGTGGAGCCCTGTTTACACTGGATTCTTACCTGATCTACTCCGAAGAAATGGTGATGTACAGTGGGAACTAGTACTTGTCGAATTACCAAATAGGGTAAATTGAAGGGGGGGAGTTTGCAGTGGTGCAGGAAGCTGGTTGTTGTAGGTAGTCCATCGAGTTGCATCATGTGTGTTAACATTTGTATTACACATTACTGTACTTCACCTCACAGTACTATGAATTAAGCAAATGCCTTATGCAAATATGACTTAACACTTCAAAAATGTGTATCTTGTAAGTAAGCCTCCTTGACTGTGAGATTCTGTTGGTACATTTCTTTGCTCTGTTACCTCAAGTTTCTCCTGTTTTCGATTCTTCATATGTTGTGCATACTTATGTGTTCAGACTTCTGAGTTATGGTGTTTACAGTTTACTTACCATTTTTTCCTTTCCTCATATTTGTATTGCTTGTTTTTTTCTGTAAGATATTTTCATTGCTTGTTAGTTCAGTTTGTAATTTTCTGGTGATTTTACTATGCTGGATGGATGGCTGATAGTTTATTCTTTTCATCAGTCCAAGGAAGAGTGTGAGTACTTAATTGGATTGGCAAAGCCTCGCATGGTGAAATCAACAGTGGTCGACAGTGAGACTGGTAAAAGCAAGGACAGCAGGGTTCGTACAAGTTCAGGCATGTTTCTTCAAAGAGGACGGGACAAGGTTATCCGGGCCATTGAAAGGAGGATAGCAGATTACACCTTCATACCTGCAGGTTTATACCTATATAAAGACCTTAGTTTGTTTCATGGTCAAGCCAAATTCTCAGTGAGATTTCTTAGTTGATAAAGTAAAATTAAGGCATACAGACAAGTGTGACCTCTAAAATGCGTAGGAAATCTGTTGGTTATATGTGTCACCCTAACTCCCTCATTCTTAGTTATGGTGCATGTAGCTTTGTTCAGTATGCAAGTGGTGTCACATTTTCTCGACTTGGACAATGCAGCTCTTAGCATATGTTGCTTTTACCCTTTGAGCATATACTGTATTAGTTTTGTTTAACAATGTTCATTCATGCTGGCTTGCAGAACATGGAGAGGGACTCCAAGTCCTGCACTATGAAGTCGGGCAGAAGTACGAACCCCACTTTGACTATTTTCTTGACGAGTTCAACACCAAGAATGGTGGCCAGAGGATGGCAACTATTCTCATGTACCTGTAAGTAAAAGTAGCATCCCTATGCCCCAACACTTTGGTTACTTGTGGTGTTAGCTGCATTGCTAACTTGTCTAATACACACTCTGAACTGAAACAGATCAGATGTTGAAGAAGGGGGTGAGACTATTTTCCCCGATGCAAATGTGAACAGCAGTTCCTTACCGTGGTACAACGAACTTTCAGAGTGTGCCAGAAAAGGTCTTGCTGTCAAACCGAAGATGGGAGATGCGCTGCTTTTCTGGAGCATGAAACCAGATGCCACTCTAGATCCACTAAGTTTGCACGGTTAGTTAGTTCACTGGCCTGCTCGCTGCCCTTGTTAGTTACACTTTCTCCAGAAAGTAGAATATTTATGAGACCTGATTTATATTGGACCTTTCACTTCTGAAACTCTTGTTCCATTCTCCTTCGGAGAAGCTACCTGCTGTCAAACTTGAAGTTCTTCTTATATGCATATATATTCTTGAGCAGTCTGCTGACAGATTTCTTTACATCTTGTTATTCTTGCAGGGGGCTGTCCTGTTATCAAAGGGAACAAATGGTCATCAACCAAGTGGCTGCATGTTCACGAGTACAAAGCATAGGCCCTTCTGAACTCATTCCAAAGGTATTTCCTGCTAACCCAGCCCCAGTGGATCTATATTGTGTTAAGGTGTCTCTACCCCGCAGCGATTTGAAGTTACCCTTCCCATACATTCGATTTTACGATTGCCAAGTGTGACTGTTACTCGTGTACCGAGATGCGATACGTGTGCATATAAAACGATGGTTGTGACGAGGCCGAACATGGTTACCTTTATTTGTGCTGCTGGCAGGCTTGAGCATCTCAATCCGTTGCTCAAAAGTAAACTCTTTAAGCTAAGCTGATGCCAGACTACCGCTTTGTGCTTGCAGATGACACGATTTGCGCGGCATGTGACCCGGGCTCTTTACAGGATGGCTTTACAGTTACAGATCCACCCCCATTGCGTTCATTGCTTGTGGAGGACACATATATATATATATACATACAAGGAGGGCTTGATGCTGGAGTACTGACTCAGCAGCTTATTATAGAGGAATGAATGTGATATGACATGATGTATGTAGCGCCGGGGGCTGTAGGATCCGGAGCTCCATTCTCGGTTCGTGTTCTTGTGTCCTGTTTGTTGTAGCACTAGGTGCTGTAATGCAGTACTGATGTAGCAGCGTCGAGGCGAGCCGTCACTGCACAATAACTATTGAGGATTTTGCTTGTCTCGGCAATTTACACAGTTATATCGTCCTTGGTAGATATCTTAGCTGAAGCTCGCGGTCTCTATCGGGCTCGGGACGCAGGAGGGAACAGGGAGAACGGGTCTGGAATCGAGGCTTGATGAGCCCCTGTTCTGAAGAGGAAGCCTTTTGTTTAGTGTTGGGTGGATGATAGTGATGGATGGGGTCGGACTGGAGGCGACGGTGGAACCCAACTGAACTGAAGTTGGGTGTTGGTGCAGGCTCGCCCACCTGGCGCCCAAATGAAACGCGGTCGCTCTCAACTCCACCAGATCGACCAGAAGACCATCTCATCAATCAAAATGGAAAAAAGATGGGCCAGAAGATGCTAGACACTCTGAATGGTCAGAGAAAATTCAGCTTTCGCTTAGGCGTGGCGGCCTGTGGGCCGGTGAATCCAAGGCAGGCGACGGCAGCGCCAATCGCGCGCTCACATGGAAGAAGAAAGAGAAATTACTAACAAAAAAAAATGGAAGAGAGAGAAAATGACACGTTTCGTCCTTTGAACTCTCTGACACGTAACAGTTTAGCACCTCAACTCGAGAAACACTAGAATACGGTACTTATACATGAAAATACATAACATCCACACTCCAATATACGGTCCCCTCGATGGTCGACCACTCCGGTGCCGCCACGTGGCGCTGCTCTGTGGACCCCCCGCCCCTCGATTTTCTGGAAAACAACCCGCGCTCCACCATGGCCCCATGCGTCAGGCGTTCCGACTGGGTCAAAATGATCCAGGCCATCTCTCTCCCTCTCTCTCTCTGTGTGTGTGTGTGTGTGTGTCACGCTCTCTCCACTCTTCTCTTCTCCCTGAGCACGCTCTCCTCTATTGATGGACCACGCCGTCACCGCACTCATCGCCGGTGACCATGCCGTCGTGGAGGGATTGGGAAGGTAGCAATGGCGACGACATGATGGAAATGGAGTACTTTGTAAGATTCCTCCTCTTCTCTGTTTAGTTAGGATTCTTGCACTTGGGAGATTATTTTTAGCTTTTCTGCATCAATTCGAAGAATATTTGGTTGATCTAGCGGATTATGCATGTAGGAGACTCCGGACACCATTCATGAGCCCCTATACCGCGGTACTGCACTGGATGATTTCCCCAAGTGCATGTTGCACAAGCTTAAACCAGAGAAATGTGTTGCTACATGAATAGATTGTCCAATAATTGTGTACATGTATCAATGTTTGACTGTACCTGTGGAACACATTTAACTGAAACGTGATAGTAGAGTAGAGTAATAGAATTGACACTATGTTTTCTTGATGCTTAGTTGGTCAATGAGCACACTAAGTAGCTGTGTGTAGTTGAGTTAGCTCATATATCTAAAATCTTGGAGTATAGTGATGCAGATTGACAGTACAATTGAGATTATGCTATGTTGCTGTTGGAGTATAGTGATGCAGATTGACTGTACAATTGAGATTATGCTATGTTGGTGTTTAGTTGGTCTCCGATCATTAACTTGCTAATTCACATTCTAATTTATTTGTAGTTGGATAGGTGTAAGGTGAATTAGCAGTAAGAAAGCATTGCATATTCAGGTACTGCGAAATGGTTAGGTAGTACAAATTGCATAATTTAGTTTTAAATGTCTTAAAATTTAGTTTACTTTGGCAGGGAGGTGTAAATTGTGGAGTAGTGCAGTGGGTTGATGGGTCTTGGCCTGTCATACTATAGAACTGCTTGACCAAGTTATATATGGGGATGTTTCATGAGCAAACTATGGCAGGTGATAGAAAAAAGTGGTATATGAAAAAAACCTAGCCAAGATGAAGAAGCAGTATGATCATATATGCAATGAGTACCAAAAAATGGTGGATGATGTAAGCAAGATGTTTGATTGGCATGATGGTGTTGACAAGCCGGACTACCAGATGGAGCTCAAGAAGAAGAAGGAAGAGGTAGAGATGAAGCTCGAGATGGAGAAGGTTAGGCTTGCAAAGGAGCGAAGGTGTATCCTGACCCGGGGAGATATCATTCAGAACACAAGGAAGGCCATGCATGAGATCAAGGTAGACAGGGACCAACTTGTTGAAAGATAAGGGGGTTGAGAAGCTTGTTGTTGACCTGCTGAATTCTGGGCATGGGAGCAAGGAGAAGCTGGAGCAGATGAAGGCAATCTTAGCACGGAGAGGAAGAGTAACCTTCCTCAGAACACACTCCCACCGTTTTCCCTGCTATGGGATCCAAGATTTTGCTTCCGGCATAACCCACTTAGCACTTGATCCGGATGCTGCTTCCATTGCATAGGCATCCACTGCTTCTCCTCTGTTGTGGATTAGGTGCAGACGATCTCTGCGACCAAATCCGTTATGAACTTGAGTCAGCATTGCGCTATCTGAACATTTTTCCTCGTCTTCACCCCAAAACCCTGTTTGCGCCTGGTCATTGCGGGACACAGATCTCACACACGCCCCTGTCATCGGAGGAGCCCCATTCTGAGTCTCGTTCATTCGCGCGAATCACTGCCGCATCTTCAATCCATCCCTCCGTTCTGGTGGCATCGAGGGGAGCAGAAGAACAAGCGCGGAATCCATGCCTGATCAACCCGCCCCCTTGTGTTTAATGTCAGGCGGATGGTAGTGATGGCCGGGGTCGGACCGGAGGCGATGGTGGAGCCGAACTGAAGTTAAGTGTTAGTGCAGTGTAGGCTCACCTGATGCTAAAAGAAAATGAAACGCGGTCATGCAAGCTGGACTTGGGGAAGTAGAGGATCGGGTACACCCGAGCCTCCCTCACTCACTTAACCACTTTACCGCCAGGATCGTCGGCGGTAGGGTATCATTGCCTGCTGGATGCTGCCAAAGGCCTCGGTCGTAGCCACTTATCCACGTCAACAAAGGGAAGCGGAGCCGTCAGTCGTTACCCCCGCCCTCCTCGACGGTAGTGGCAGGGCGTGTTAACCCTACTGCCATGGAGTACGGCGGTAGGAAAAAAATCAAATTGTGGAAAAAGTTTACAACCCGGATCAGATCATGCTTAAAAGTTATTAGCACACTATCAATAGATCTGACCGGAGAAATGTGTTGCTACATTAATAGATTGTCCAATCAATTGTGTACATGTATCAATGTTTGACTGTACCTATGGAACACATTTAACTGCAATGTGATGGTAGAGTAGAGTAATAGAATTGACACTATGTTTTCTTGATGCTTAGTTGGTCAATGAGCACACTAAGTAGCTATTTGCAGTTGAGTTAGCTCATATATCTAAAATCTTGGAGTATAGTGAAGCAGATTAACTGCACAATCTTGGAGTTTAGTTGGTCACCGGTCATTAACTTGCACATTCTAATTTAATTGTAGTTAGATAGGTGTAAGGTAAATTGCAGTAAGAAAGCATTGCATATTCAGGTACTGTGAAATGGTTAGGCAGTACAAATTGCAGAATGTAGTTTTGAATATCTTAAATTTAGTTTACTTTGGCAGGGAGGTGTAAACTGTGGAGTAGTGCAATGGGTTGACTTGATGGGTCTTGGCTTGTCATACTCCATCTGTTCACTTTTGTAAGTCATTTTAGACAACTGAAATTGAACTGTTTTAGATGCTGTCCTAAATGTCTAAAACGACTTGCAAAAATGAACGGAGGGAGTACTATAGAACTGCTTGACCAAGTTATGGGCATGTTTCATGAGCAAAATTGTGCCAGGTGACAGAAAAAAGTGGTCTATGAAAAAAAAACTAGCCAAGATGAAGAAGCAGTATGATCATATGTGAAATGAGTACCAAAAAATGGTGGATGATGTAAGCAAGATGTTTGATTGGCATGATGGTGTTGACAAGCTGGACTACTAGATGGAGCTCAAGAAGAAGAAGGAAGAGGTAGAGACGAAGCTTGAGATGGAGAAGGTTAGGCTTGCAAAGGAGCAAATGTGTATCCTCAAGACTAGAGCAGATATCATTCAGAATACAAGGAAGGCCATGCATGATATCAAGGTGGACAAGGACTAACTTGTTGAAGATAAAGAGGTTGAGAAGCTTGTTGACCTGCTGAATTCTGGGCATGGGAGCAAGGAGAAGCTGGAGTAGATAAAGGCAATCTTAGCATGAAGAGGAAGAGTAACCTTCCCTCAGAACATGCTCCCACCGATTTCCCCGCTATGGCATCCGAGATTTTGCTTGCAGCACAGCCCACATGAGCACTTGATCCGGATGCTGCTTCCGTTGCACAGGCATCCGCCGCTTCTCTCCGTCTCGGATTCGGTGTAGACGATCTTCGTGAGCAAATCCAATCTGAAATTGGGTCAGCATTGTGCCATTTGAACATCTCTCCTCATCTCTCCCCCTCAAACCCTGTTTGCGTCTGCCCTGGCCGTTGCGGGACG